TGAAATGATACTGCAGCCTTTTCATTTCTGAGCTGTCTCATGCCGAGGTCAGTTCCCTCTGTTCTTAATTTGCTGAATGTCTTTGTCATGAAAGACTTGAATCTTGTCAAATGCTCTTTGCTACATCCGTGGAGATGGTCACATGTTTTCCCTTCCAGTCTGTACAATATGGTCTCACATCCATTGATTATACATATAAAATGTTGAGCCTTCCTTGCCTTACAGGACTCTTGGTCCCACTTGGTCTCAGCGTGTAACCCTTCATGTGTTATGACCCTGACTTGCTAATGTTTTATTGAGTCTTCATATCAGTGTTCACAAGGGATCTGGGTCTGAGTTTAGAGTTTTCTGTCTGCTTTGGTATTGGGCTAATACTTGACTGCCACTCTTTTAACACAAAATAGTGGCAGATTATATTTTACAGATTTCCCAATTCCCCTGTTTTTCCCGTGCTTATTGCATGTTGGGTACTAGGGGAATCACTTGCAATCCTAACCACTCACTTAAGCGCATGAAATGGGATTGCAACTGTCCCCATTTTGCAGATGACTGTCCTGAGGGTTAGTGGAATAAAAGCTCCTCTTTCCCTTCATGATGTGGTGGCAAAGGGAGAGCTGAGATGTAGTCACATGCCTGGTCACACCCAGCAGAATTAGCCACAGCTTTGTCATCACTGATGCTGAGGGTCTCTGCCTCCCACTCTGTCTCCTACAGGTAGCAGCCCGACGTGCCTAAGTGAGTACAGAGGCAACATCAGTAAGGCTAATCTGAGCATACTGGCAGTGTGTGTTCAGCCTGGGTGATTAGAGTCTGTGCATACTGTGAGGACCTGAAGATGGGCTGTGGGACAGTGAAGGGTCAGATGATATAAGGTCTGTATACAGGCAGATGGAAGGCATGGAACCCACTGGAGCAGACACAGCACTACACTATGACCAAGCAAGCTGGAAGGAACAGAGGTTGCAGCTTAGCAATGAATCCAGGAGCCTGAGCCTGGATAGGCACCAGGAGAAGACATGGGGATAGGAGAATGAGCTGGAAGTGGAAGTCTAGCTGGGAAGATGCAGAACAGTATATGGCATTGGTTTCCTAGGGATGCTGTGTTGTGAAGACAGCAGGGGGCATTCCCACTAGTGGGCATTCCCACCAGGGGGCAGTCCCACCAGAGGGCATTCTCACAGGGCACTGTGTCTGTCTGCTGAATTTAAATTTAGAAGTTTAAAAAGTGTGGTTGGGACATCAGGGGCTACAAGAAAGTCTTTCATCTGGGCCTCCAGGATCCGGAGTACCCAGTGGCTCTCAGACCTCCCTTCCTCCCTCCATTCCCCTCTCGTCTTTCCTTTCCTCTCTCCCCCATCCCTCTCCTTCTTCTGACAGTCTCTCAATATTTAGTCCAGGTTGGCTTCAAACTCACTACTTAGCACAGATTGGCCTTGAACTCGGGATCTCCCTGTGGGCTGGGATTTCAGCATGCACTGTCACACCCAGCAGAATTTGCTCTATAATTTGCAAGCTCAGCCCTTGGTTTAGAAGGGGAGGAAGAGGGTCTGACTTTTGATACAGGTCTTACCAAATAGGCAGGCACAGTGGATTTTCATCCGAGTCCCTCCTTCCCTAAACTCTAACTATGTTGGATTTTAAGACACTACTTCTTTCTGTTTTTTTTTTTTTCTTACACATTCTTAGTATCTCAGAAACCAGGCTGCATCATATAAAAAGTGAGGTCATAATTAACTTAATTAATCAGCACTGTTAGATGTACTTAAGGTTACACTGATTATGATCTTGGAGTCCAGCATCAGGCGCTTGGCTCCTGGGTGCCAGGCTCTCTGCTGCCTCTAGCCTTGCGTTTTTCAGGGAGTCTTCCATTAACCCACAAGTTAGCAGGCTTGACTGTCCTCCTGGGTGAGACCTTGAGGCTCTGAGTAGGTCCTTCCTGTGAGCTTAAGGCCCATACTGAGCTAGGTTTTAGGTTTCTGATTTCAGCAGGGGCCACTTTAGACCTAATGAGGAGCTTTACACAAGGCAAGACCAAGTCTGGCCTAGAAGGATGGGTGGTAAGGTGGGAGTTGGAGCTGCTCCTGGTAGACTCCCAGCCTTGCCTTTCCCAAGGCCATCAGGTCAAGGGTCACTGCCTACACTCACACTGCTCCCTGGTACCATCTTTCCACATTACCTCATGAGAGCCTTTTTCTGTCTCCCAGAGGAGCTCTGGCTAGACCATGGATGACAACCACCCTCCCTGATGGGCCTGGAATGAAATTCCATGGGACAGGCAGAAGCTCAGGTCAGAGATGGCCCCTCATTGGTGGCCAACATGGAACTGAGACTGGACATGTAGTTTGTCTCTCCTGGCTGCCTGATAATAGCTGATCTCTTTTAGGCTGCAGAGAGGTGGGATCTGCTTACCCTGGAGATGTTCAAGGTTCCAGAGGGAGCATCCAACCTGGAAAGCAGTTTTGTCAGAGCCAGGCTCTGCTCACACCTCCTGACACAGGGCCCATAGCTGCTCCCGGTGTGGCTGCAGCCTTTAATTTCATTAATGTGTGACATTACCCATGCTGCATGGCTGACGGGCATGCTTGACATTAATACATGTTCTGAGCGCTCCCCTGAGCTCATAAAAACTCATTATCAGTTCTGAGCCAGTAAATGCAGTTCCTGGCTTCTCAGAGGTGCCTCGAGCAGTGGGAGCCTAGACATCTGTCAGCATCATCCAGTATCCGACCCCTCCCTTTGTGCTGGACCTCGGAGTTGCAGCCATTGGGAGGGGACCAGGTCACGTGATAGGCAAAGCTCTCTGTTCAAATTTACAACCAAGAACCAAGGCAAGAGGTACCTTTCTTCCACCTGTGATTTGCTGTGAGTTTGCTTGATACTGAAATGCTAGTGTGGCCACACAGGCACGAAATGGCCATGCCCTTCATGGCCAGCCATGGTAGCTGATACGTGGATGGTGAATAGGTTTGGCTCACACGCATCATGGGATATATAAAGAGGACCCAGGAGTGTGGGCATACTCAAATGAGGTGTGACCCGTGGACTTACCAGGTGTCAATCTTGTGTGTCAAGATCCCATTTGCTCTCTCTGTATGTCATGGAGGTGTGTTTGCAATCAGATAGCACCAGGTGTGGGTCCTGAGCCATAGGCTATGTCATGGATTTGTCTGTTGAATCTCATGAGTGGGTGAGGAAGGGTATTTACCTCTGTGTTTAAAAAATGAAAATTCTAGACAGGTTTGATGGTGATGTACACAAATAATCACAGTACTTAGGAGGCAGAGGTAGGTGGATCTCTGAGTTCAAGGCCAGCCTGATCTATATAGAGTTCCAGGCCTTCCAGGGCTACATAGTGAAACCCTTTCTCAAAAAAAATAAAAATAAAATTCTCACTAGTTGTGGTGGTGTATATCTGTCATCACAGCACTGGGGAGGTGGTAGTAAGAGGATCAGGAATTCAAGGTCAGCCTTGGCTACGTATTGAGTTGAAGTTAGCCTAGGCTACATGAGTTCCTGTCTCAAAAAACCAAAAAGGTCCTCCAAAATGAAAATTCAAAATGTGCATGTATGTGTGCCCATGTGTATGCATACACATTTGTGCATTTATGTGTTTGTGCATGTGTCTAAGTGTGCATACGTGCATACATGTATCTACATGTATGCACACATTTGTGCGTATATATAGGGTGTGTGTGTGTGTGTGTGTGTGTGTGTGTGTGTGTTTGGGATTTCTTTGACTACTGCTTTGATCTGGCCCATATGCATGAGGCCCCCAGGGCTGGCACTGCCGGATGGACATCCAAGGCACAAATAGCCAAATAAAACTAAGCCACATCCCCCAGTCATTCCCATTTCTCATCAGTTAACAGTCTGAGAATCCCTTTGTCACCTGGGGAACCTTGAACTCATCCCTGTCCTACTGGGACCTCTCCCACTTGGAGGTGGTACCTGTCCCATCCTGGGCTTCCCAGGCCTGGGTTCTAGTCCCCACCCTACATCATTTCTGGCGGGACCTTGGGCAAATTTGTTAGCTCCTCTGTGTTCAGGGTCTTCAACCATAAAGTGGACAGGCTTTCTTGTGTGGTTGTCCCTGTCCCTGTCTGATATGGCATGGCACTGACCGGGCCTCTACTGTTCTATGTGGCTCAGTGGTTGAGGCAGGAGGAGCACAACTGGGACCTCACTTCCTCTCTGTGATGGTGGCTCTAAGTCTTGCTTATTTTATTCAGATGTGCTGTGACAAGCCAGTCCCAGGGGATAGGCCTAAGCCTTGGCTGGCTGGTATGCCACCAGGATATACTGAATGTAACCCTTCTCTGTGACTGTCCCTCAAAGTGACAGGAGAGCTGAAGAGTCTGGACTTCTGGCCCACACTGTGGGGCCGAGCTGCCATCCGAGGCCCCTCCTCCTATTACTCATCTCATCATGAGCAGTCCTTGAAGTTATTGGTCTGCCAAAGAGACTGAATTCTTTTTTTTTTTGGTCTTTTTGAGACAGGGTCTCCCTGTAGCCCCAGCCGTCCTGGAACTCACTATGTAGACCAGGCTGGCCTTGAACTCACAGAGACCTGCCTGCCTCTGCCTCCCAAGTGCTGGGATTAAAGGCATGCGCCACCATGCCTGGCTCAGAGCCTGAATTCTTTAGATGATGATGCACTAATTCTCTCCTCTATCTTCACAGTCTCTCAGAAAGTCCTTTTGAGCCTGAGAAGTCTGAAGCCCCCACAGCGGGTTGATAATAGTCCATCTCAAAGCAAAAATGCTCAGGCTGATGTTTTGATTCATAGTTTGGTGTCATGGGTGCCTGGGTGCCAGTAGGACCCATGCCTACCCTAGGAAGCTTGGGATCCATCCTTCATTCTAGCTATCCTGTGAGGTCCCTGTGTGGTAGAGCTGTGAAGGGAAAGGGAGGCTTGGGGGAGGGTGGGCACCACATCTTGGCAGAAATGACTTTGGAAGCCATTCTTTCTGATAACCCTGGCTTGTCTTTTCTTCCTCTAGAGTTTGCCCTGACGCTGTCAAGAGACCTCAAGGGCCCTGGGTACCTACCTGTAGGGAGAAGAGAAGAAACGAGCTGAAGGAGGTAAGACTGAGCAGCTTGGTCGCTGAATCATGGGATGTTAATTAAGACAGTCAAACTTATTCCATCTATCCGGCCCTGTGAGGCAAAGACTCTGAGCAGCTTCAAGGGGTGTGAGGCAGGGGAGGCTGGAGGTCCATCCAGCAAGCAGGAGCTAGCTCTCCAAGAAGGGGCAGAACTCTTGGGGGACCCTCCTGTGCCCCTGCCAGCCACCCCGGTCTCAGGATTGGTGTGATCACCACTCTGGAGTGTGAAATTTAACTCCACAGGACTGGAGCTGTCCCCTGTCTGTGATGCACTGAGTATCTGCCTCTTCAGCTCTGGGAGAATTTTCCAGGGCTGCTCAGGACCCCAGAAGTGGCCATAAGTTGGGAGGCCACCAACACACCTCAGAGGCATTGGCTTCCTTGCCCTGCCTATTAAACAGGCAGCTGTGTTAAGTTCACTCCAGCCCTCACATCCCGCACTTCTGAGGTCACGAGGTCAGAGTTGATGATAGAAGTGACAGGTAGGGGTTGGGGCAGGGTAGGGGGAGAACAGAGGTATTTGGAAACTCCCAGAAGAGCTGATGGCAGGTCTTGAATCAAGAACAATGTGGCTCAGGCCCATTGGGATCAATCTCAGGGTGTGTGGAACAGAGGGACCTGAGTTCAAGTTTTGGATAAGTAGAAGAGCCAGACGAGCAAACAGGTCAGCTCAGTGTGGAGACCACTTCCTGGGCTGCCCCAGCCCACCCTCTCAATGACCCTGGGATCTTGGTGCTATTACCACCTCCATTTTAGGGAAGAGAAAACCTAGCCTCAGAGAGGCAAAACAGTGACAGAACTGGGATTTGAAAATCCTGCCTGAATAGCTCCACAGTTCAGTGTCTTTTCACTCTAGTTCTGTGACTTAAAGCTAAAGGTTAAACTAAAGCCATTAACTACATTGTCTGTGTGAGAAAACATGAAAGTTGTTTGCCTCCTTGTCCTGGGGGCTTGGATTTTAACATTGGTCTTTTAATTAAATGCCTGCGGATCTTGACTTTTTGAACTTAAAACTGGAAGTGTAACATCTACTCATAGATTATTCTGAGGGAAAATGAGATGAGGAAGATTCCAGAAGCTCCCCACATGGTTCCTTGTGGGAGCCTCTCTGCACCTGTCTTCTCACGCAGGGTTGCAGGGTTGCTGTCGGTGGGGCATGGCAAGGGCAGATGAATTGCTGTGCTGTGGCCTGGTGGCATTTCCTATTGAGCTGCCCTGCCGTCTGTGTCTGTTAGCACTCGACCACCTTCCCATCAAGGACCCTGCAGTGTGCTGCTGGCTGCCTGGGGTGATTTTGGCTGAAGTATAAGTCTGGCTGGGTGGCTGGTAAACCTGGGACTGACTGAGGTTCAAGTGACTGGTGACCGATGTGGCTACCCATCATGTGCTGCTACTGCAGCCTGAAGCTCCATAGCTCTGTAGCCCCCAGCTGCAATCTCAGCTGTGAATCTCCTTCAGCAGCCACTGGAGCCCCACAGGGGGCAGGTACATACAGAGTCCACAGGGGCAGATGCCTGGAGTCTACAGGGACAGATGCCTATAGAGTCCACAGGGGCAGATGCATACAGAGTCCACAGGGGTGGACGTATACAGAGTCCGCAGTCAGAGTCCAGAGCTGGGCAACTTCCTTTATTCACCTGGAGGGACTTGGCGAAAGCTCACCTTCCTAGAACCTTCCTTCCCGGGCATTTCTCTATCCAAAAGTCTCTTTAAACACAGAAGCCAATATTCTGTCATCCTCAGGAGGGAGCCACAGAGCCAGACCTGAGCCTGGGCCCTCCTAGAAACAAATGCTAGCTAGTCACAGGGACAACATAACACAGAGTAACCCTGGAGTAGCTGTTTGCCTCAGGACAAGTGAGGGTGCTTCAGCCTCAGTTTTCTCATCTTTGAAATGGGCAAACAGCCTGTACTTCGCTGGCTCAGGTGACACACTCCCCAAGTCATCCCATTCTGTCCTTTCCTCCCAATCACCCTGTGATCTCAGCACCATTATCAGGTATTGTGAGGGAAGGCAGCAATGGCCAATGGGAGTTACCCCATTTACTTGAGCAATGGCAGCCCTCTTGGGGATGTGTAGCCTCTCAGAGGACCTCCCTAAAAATACCCAGCTTTCCAGGATGTAAGAGTTGGATGTTTGTCACCAAACAGTGAGGTTACCCAGGAGACACATACCTCCTCTGTGCCTAGTCTAAAAATGGCTTGAAGAGGGGTCTGGTTTGTGTCATCAAGCTCTCAGTTCTGATATATCAGGACCCTGGGACATGGGAGTGTGAGCTGCCTTTCCCAGCTCACCCTCATAATGGCTCCCAGCCATCCATCCTGGGCCCTTTCAGCAGATAGCAAGTGATGGTACCAACACCTGGAGGCCAGTTTCATCTGAGCTGGCAGAGAAGCAGTTATAGGCTCCAGACTCCAGACCTACCAAGAGGTTAGCGGAGAACCCCAACACAGGCACCTGCCCCCAGAACTATTTCCTGAGCACCCAAAGGGCACTTTTTGCATGCATGCATGGTGGCCCTCTCATTGCCCATGGTGGCACCTTTCCCGGATTCTCCACCCAGCTTTATACAGAGTTCACAGGCCAGGAAAAAAGAGAAGTTCCCAGCCAGCACTTGGGGAGGGAGACTGAGGCAGGAAAATCCAGTTTCAGTCCAGCCTGGAATAGATGGCTAGAGGCTGTGTGTGTGTGTGTGTGTGTGTGTGTGTGTGTGTGTGTGTGTGTGTGAGAGAGAGAGAGAGAGAGAGAGAGAGAGAGAGAGAGAGATTTCTGAGTTTACAGCCTTCTGTAAAACATCATGAGATCTGCCTGCAGGAAGGAGGTGGCAGTAGGAGAGGGGATGATGGAGGCCCAGTTGCCCCAGCAGAGGCTGGTCACTGCCTCCATCCAAGAATCCATTACAAAGTTCAAGGTCACGAGGAATCACCTCTGTGTTCTTCCAAGAGTTTTACAGTTCTAGTTTTTATACTTAGGTTGTTGAGCCCTCTGGAGATATTTATTTTTTATATGGCATGAGGCAGGGATTCAGCCATTCCAGCACCGTCTGCTGAAGAGGTGCCCCCCCCCCCCGTCCCCACTAGCCCTGGCAACATTGTTGAAAATGAATTGCTTGTGGATAAATGAATTTATCTGTATTTTATTATTGTTTGATGTGGTTTTTTTCCTTCCTTCCTTCCTTCCTTCTCTTCTTCCTCTTCCTCTTCTTCTTCCCCCACCATTCTCTTCCCCCTCATCC